CAAATACAGTTCAGAAATACCTTTGCCAAATTGTATCGAGATCGGTTCAGATCGACCAAAAAAAAGCCTAGAAACAGGTATGTGTAATTTGGCGAAAATCGGAATATACAGTGTCAGATGAAAAAACTGCAACCAACTCCAGACTGCTGTCATTTCTATGCCGCTCGTCCGAGAATCTCCCAGAAAAAAAGTTATTCTTGATGGAATTCAAGCGTGATAGTGTGATTTCTATATATTTGGCTGAAAACCACAAGTGGCTATCGTTAGAGCAATCCAGCATTTAAATGTGAATAAATCTTTTGTGTCTCGTACCATCGCTCGTTACCGTGATACTGGTAGCGTAGCCCGACGTCATGGAAGTGGACGGAAGAAAACAACATCAGCAGAAACGGTTCGAAAAGTAAAGAACCGACTTGATCGAAACCCCCGTCGCAGTGAGCTGAACATATCGCAATATTCCATTCGTCAAATATTTAAAAATTCCAAAAAGTGCAAGAACTTACACGGTTTCATTGGCAGTTTGAAGGCCATAATTCGTGCTAAAGGTGACCAACAAATCTAAACTTATTGTTTTATGGCGTTTGACTTTGTTGCAGTTTTTTATATCACCCTGTATTTTAAAAATTATTAACCTTTTCCGCGATGGTGGAACAAAGACTGCTCTTACCACACCTACGCAATTTTTTAAATGATCGGCCTTTTTTTAGTTTTCTCCCAAAATAACATTTTCTTACTATTTACTGGTAAAAAAACGTGTTTTTAGTATTGAAAACAAGTAAACGAATGAAATTTTTATTTTTGATGTAGATATACGAAACTTCTATATTTCAAAAATATTATACCAAAGCATTCTACAATATATAAAACTGAAGTTGACTTTAGCAAAGAACAATCTTCAATCTCAACATTAAATCCCAACATTTTCTGCGTTTCACAAAGAATAATAAAATATTGTTTTCTTTTTAATTTTACATTTACTTTTTTATTTTTCCTAATTTATTTCACTTCATGCTATTTAAGGTACAATTGTAAAATTTTTGGATTTCACCATTGCCACTAATTGCTTAGCACCTGCTCCATTGGCCTCTTCATAGTATGACAATGATTCCATACTCTTCAACCAAGCGCTCAGTTTAGGGAATTTGGATGCATCGATTTCAGCAAAAGCCACCAATGAAGTTACCGTTGTTACGATACTCAAGTCGGCAATGGTCAAATGATCACCAGCCATGTATTTGTGGTCCTTAAGGAATGATTCCAGGAAACCATAACTCTCTACAATGGCATCAATTTGATGTTGAGAAATTTGTGTTTGATTTCTGAACAACAAAGGTGCTGTAATGTTGCGTAGACCGCCTTGGAATAGGACACCAGCTTCGAAATACATGCGTTGATCGACCACGGCTCGTTTAAGCAAATCCTTTGGATACAGCGAATCATCCTTGCCATATTTGCTAACTAAATACGCGATAATGGCATGTGAATCCCAAATAAAGTGTCCATCATCTTCCAGTGTGGGTACGGTATGTTGTGGATTCTTTTTCAAATATTCTTCCGACAAATGTTCCTTAGCCATCAAATTAACCACTTTGTATTCATAGGGTAAATTCAAAGCTTTCAGTGTGAGCAAACAAGCACGTACCGGTGGGCTGGGATCTAAGCCGTATAGAACAAGTTTTCCCATTTTGTCGTCGAATAAATTAGCTGCAGCAGTTCTGTTTAGAATTCCGTTAGCGGGGTTGTGAACGCTATGAAATGCGGCGAAAAACTAAGTGGAATTGTTTATAATAGTTGCTTTAAAAAACAACCGGCTGGCAGATCACTATCTCTGAAATTAACTGTTGCTAATCTGGCGATTTTTTTTCTGATTGAATACATTGATTGAAAATAAAAATTTATATTTTGGTGGTCCCATTCTATCAATGTGTATGTATATGTGTGCATTGTTAAAAAAATTGAAATTATGTAAAATTCAGTTGCAAATAAATTTTATAATTTTGGAATTAAACAACATTGTCCTCCTATTATGGATTCAATATTGTGGAATACCCCCAACATTCCATTTATGTATAGTTGTTTTTCTCAATAAAACAATTTTGTAAAAATATGAACAAAACCTATTGTTGAATGCTTTAAAAGTCTATTTACAGAATAAATATTGCACAGAGTTGTATTTTAGTTGATTTAAAGTTAAACTTCTGGTTTTGGCACATACAGGGTGAGATAAAAAACTGCAACAAAGTCAAACGCCATAATTTTTAAATTTTTTTTCATTTTATTGAATGAAAGCAAAAAATGTCGAAAATTGCATTAAATTTTAGAATAAGTTTGGATATAGCTCTCATATATATTTTCATCCGATTATATGTTTATTGTGCATCAAAAGTGTAATGTCAGCTTAAAAAGGATGGATGTTGGTGATATTGGAGTTGGTCTTTTAAATAAAAACTTCTCTAAAGCCATAATATGCATTTGGCAAAATCTACTCCACATAATTGGTCTATATTAACGTTAAGGGGAGCTCTACTTAATAGACAATGTGGTGTAGGGTATTACAAAGCCCGTACCAACGACTTTGACATTTCTGTATTGTTTTTTTTGTTCGTTTGACGGCTTGGAGATTAGAACCTTAAAGGTAAGAATACATAAAACGTTTTGTTCGCTTAGTTCGATTTTGAACCTACGCTCCTTTGTTATTTTTCCAAGAAGCCAGCCGATGACTTAAGCCAGTCAAAAAAGTTGGCAGAACTATTTGTATTGTGTCTAGGATGGTTGGTATTGAACGTGAGATACATCGGGCCTCATTTTGTTATAGCCGCCATATAACGGTGCCTCCCGATATTCGGTATTTTGATGATTTTCGCCACATTTTTTACGGATTTGTCTAAAAATTGGTAGTTGTAAGTCATAATGTGTTCTAGCTCCGGTGGCCAAACATTGTAGGTATAGGTCCACGTTTTTGTATAGCCGCCATATAACGGTACCTCCCGATATTCGTAGTTCGATGAATTTTGCCATATTTTTTCACGAATTTGTCTAAAAATTGCTATTTGTAGTTCACAATGGGTTTTAGCTTCGGTGTTAGAAGATTAAATATTTAGGTCCACGTTTTTCTATAGTGCACATATAACGATACACGCGGATATTCGGTATTTTGATAATCATAGTTACATTTGCCCACGAAATTGTTTCCAATTTACTATTTAAGAAGATTTGATAGATGACAATCCTTGAAGTATAAAATTGTCTATATAGGTTCCCGTATTGGTATGGCGCCCATATAACGGCCTCACCCACTTTGTGGGTTTTTGAAAAAAAACTGCAACCAAATTCAGACTGCTGTCATTGCTAAGCCACTCGTCCGACAGCTGTTAAAATTATACCAGTGACAGCTCATTACATTGTTTACAAGCATACAAAAGCCTTTTGGTGAGAATTTTCCAGAAAAAAAGTTATTCGTGACGGAATTGAAGCGTGATAGTGTGATTTCTTTATATTTGGCTGGGAAACCACAAGTGACTATCGTTAGAACTCTCCAGCATTTAAATGTGAATAAATCTTTTGTGTCTCGTACCATCGCTCGTTACCGTGATGCTAAACATATCACAATATTCCATTCGGCAAATATTGAAAAATGAGCTTGGGGTAAAGACATTGAAATGCCAAAACAACTTACACCGCAACAGAAAGAAAATAGACTCAAAAGAGCTAAATAGTTGCTTCGCTTGGCCGAAAGCGGTGAACTGCCGAATTTGGTTTTCTCCGATGAGAAAACATTCGTTGTCCAGCACTTTGTAAACAAACAAAATGATCGTGTTTACTTGCCAACGAGGTCAGCTAAAAGTGTGCACCTTCCAGAACTCAAGTGCCGGCCATGGTGATGGTGTGGGCCGCCATAACAGCCGATGGTCGCACCCCGCTCGAATTAATCGACCGTGGCATCAGAATAAATGCCGAATATTATTGCGAAAATATTCTGGAGGGTGTATTAAAGCCTTGGGCACATAAACATTTTGGCCGCAGACCTTGGACATTCCAACAGGACTCAGCACCATCGCACTCAGCACGCGCCACCCAAAAATGGTTACAAAATGAGGTTCCTCGCATCATTTCTAGCGCACAATGGCCACCAAAATCTCCGGTGGAGTATTTTGGAAAGCAAGGTTGACACTAAAAAATACCAAAGTGTCGATCACATCAAGCATGCGCTTCGCGGGAATGGACCAAAATACCGCAGGGCCATAATTCGTGCCAAAGGTGACCAATTCGAACAAATCTAAACTTAATCTAAAATTTGATGCTATTTCCGAAATTTTTTTGCTTTTATTCAATAAAATTAAAAAAAAAAAAGGAAAAATAATGGCGTTTGACTTTGTTGCAGTTTTTTTTTTTATTTCACACAGTATACCAAACATCCATATACCCAATAACGATTTCCCTGACCAATTTTCGGCGGCGTAGCTAGTTAAAACGAAGAACGAAAACTCAAACTTCACCAGTCGGTTAAACTACTAAAATCTATATTGGCGATTTTACTTAAAATACATATTGACTTCAGGAAAAATATTTGCTTTATTTTTTCAATTATTTTATTGACAATTTAATTTTTATAACAACAATGTTGGGTTTGTAATTTATGCATATACCTTGTACAAATATACCTCTATCGTGATTGTTAATTTAGCTACCTTTGCAATTCATTATTATCAGTTAAGTAATTCGAAAACGAATCAATGAACGTTGCTAATAATTATTCCTCCAATTGTCTACTTGTCATTCATTTGTCTTTGTATTTGTATTAAACATGACATTGTCTTAATAATGATGGTGTTTAGCATTTTCTTGAAATTAAAATAAATTGTTATTACCAGTAGCGGTTTTTAACAGTTTTGTAAAACAAGCAATATGTCTATCTTTTAAAACTTAGTAGATATTTGATCCAATTCTTTCAAATCAACCCCCACATCTCCCATTACTAAAAAATGCACACTAGATAGCAATACTTTCAACCACCTTGACCAAATTTTCTCTTTATTTTTAATAATTTAAGAAATAAAATGTGGTTATATTTAAGGTACAATTGTTAAATTCTTCGATTTCACCATGGCCACCAATTGTTTAGCACCTGCACCATTGGCTTCTTCATAGAATGCTAATGATTGCAGACTCTTCAGCCATGCACTCAGCTTGGGAAATTTAGATTGATCGATTTCCGCAAATGCCACCAACGAGGTTACCGACGTTACAATACTAAAATCGGCAATTGTCAAATGATCTCCGGCCATGTATTTATTGTTCTTCAGAAAAGCTTCTAGAAAACCATAACTTTCCACAATGCTATCGATTTGATGTTGAGGGATCTGGGTTTGATTTCTAAAGAACAATGGGGCGGTAATGTTGCGTCCCTCCTGAAATAAGACACCAGCTTCGAAGTACATGCGTTGATCGACCACGGCCCGTTTAAGTAAATCCTTTGGATACAGCGAGTCGTCCTTGCCATATTTACTAACCAAATACGCCATTATGGCATGAGAATCCCAAATTAAATGACCATCCTCCTCGAGTGTGGGCACTGTATGTTGGGGATTCTTTTTCAAATATTCCTCCGACAAATGTTCCTTGGCCAATAAATTTACGACTTTATATTCAAAGGGCAAATTTAAGGCTTTTAAAGTAAGCAAACAAGCACGAACAGGTGGACTTGGATCGATGCCATATAAAACAAGTTTTCCCATTGTATTAGTATTGAATTAATTTTGCACTTTTATTCAGATTTCCGTTACAACTTGTGAACGCTATGAAATGTTGAGAACAACTAAATAAAATGAGAATTTTCTATTAAACAATTACTAGCATCAATTATCTACGAGATTAAGTGTTACAATTTTAGCCGTTTTTGTTTCTCTCTATGCATACCCATATATTGACAACATATAAAAATATATCAATTTACACAACCATACTTCTGATTTAATTATTCCATTCACATTAGGTGTGTACGCTAACTTTTCCAGATAAAAATTACTCAATAACCTATACTGAGAGAATTTTTTCTCTCGTATGACCATTTTTAAAACATTTATCAAACAACGTTCAGTAAAATATAGACTGAAAATATCTGTTTCGCAAAATGTATGCGTTACCTATTTCAACTGATGAGAAAACCATCAATAAATTACAATGTTTATATTTTAAAATTAATTATTTAATGTTTGTATGTGTATGCCTAATCAATGATTAAATTCTTCCTTGTAATTTGTAAAAAGTTGATGTTGCTGAATAATTTTTATTCAGAAAATTTATCCTGTATGATTTTGCAAAGTTTCAGTAACTCAACTATTAAAACGCTCGCATTTACTGGACTTTTAGGTTATCGAACAATATTTTTTAATATTTTATACAAAATATTGGGTTATCGAACACATATTTACTTAAGATTTTTATACCCTCCACCATATGGAGGGAATATTAAGTTCCGTTAGTAACAAAATATATATTCTTGATCAGCGAATTAAGATAGGAAGCTAAAATTTTGCACAGATCTGTTTTTTGTCTGCAGGAAGGTCAAGTTCGGTCCATGATATCGTAGAGCCCACATATAACGTTACAACCCGATATTCGGCATTTTTTATGATTTTAGCCACATTTTTAAATAGAATTGTCTGAAATTCTACACAAGGAGTTCTTTGTGAGTACAGATTCGGTATTTTGACGATTTTAGCCATGGAATTGTCTGAAATTCTACACAACAAGTTCTTTGTGAGTACTTTATTCCCTTAAAAAGAATTGTCTGCATATGTCCACGATATCGTACAGCCCCCACATAACGGTACCCCCCATATTCGGTATTTTGATGATTTTAGCCACATTTTCCAACGGAATTGTTTAAAATTCTACAGAAGAAGTTCCTTGTGAGTACTTTACCCCCTGAATAGGTCCACGTTGTCGTATAGCTCCCATATAACGTTACCTCCCGATATTCGATATTTTGATGATTTTAGCCACATTTTCTACGGAATTGTCTGAAATTCTGCAGAAGGGGTTCTTTGGAGGTACTTTGAAATAGATTTGTCTATATGGGTCCACAATATCGTATATCCCCCATATATCAGGACTTTCAGGTATTCGGTATTTTTAAGATTTTAACAGACTTTTTAATGGATTTCATTTTTTGAAAATTTCTGAATTCGTTACAAAATGTGGAGGGTATTTAATGTTCGGCCCGGCCGAACTTACTGTTTTTTATTTGTTTGTATTTGTTTCTTGTCCTCAAGACCAAAAACAAAAACAATAACGATTTTTCTACGTTGACCAGTGGCAACACTATAAATATTATACATTCCGCAAGTCTCATTGCTGTAGTTGCTTCTCATTTGTTGAGTAATTTAAAAACACTTCAGTGAAGATTATTGATAATGAATATTTTGTTGTCAACTCTCTTTTCCCCTCTTAATTACCTGGTTATAAATAATAATAAAAACAAAACGTGCGGCGTTAAATGCAGCTAGGCCGAAATGTGTATACCCTTCATCATAAAGAAATTAATGTTGGTATTTAAAAATAACTGTTCTGAAATTGAATAGAAATATTTGCTTTGAGATTTTATTTAAGAACTAGCAAGTGTCCGCTACTTCGTCAGCGAAAATTTCTTGAATTTTATATTGATTTCATAATCTTAGATTCGTTCCAACAGTTCGTGTTAAGCTTTTTAATACCCATAATGCACAATTTAGTTAGTTTTTAGTTTAGTTTTTAAAGTTTGGCGAGGTGGAAATTAATAAAATCGTATCACAATGGACCCATTTCCAATTTTTGTGTCCAAACTATATCAAGTTTCAGAATTTTGTTTATATGTGTGAAATTTGGAGAGAATTGGATGCTTGAACCCTATGTGGGGTGGGGAGGGGTTAATGACAGGCACTTCCCATGAGGTACCATCTTTATAAAAAAATAAAATAGAAATATTGAGATGTGCCAAGTCTGAATGGAATCGGATATTAATTTCGCGTTTTATGAGCTTCATGGATATTTAAAATGTTGACCCCTTTTGGAGAGGTACCAAAAGCAGTGGGCCGATATAAAAAATATAAAAAATAAAAATACAGGGTGAGATAAAAAACTGCAACAAAGTCAAACGCCATAATTTTTACATTTTTTTAATTTTATTGAATGAGAGCAAAAAATGTCGGAAATAGCACGAAATTTTAGAATAAGTTTAGATTTGGTCGAATTGGTCACCTTTGGTACGAATTGATCGTCAATTTGGTATTTTTTTAATACTTCATAGTCCAACGGATTGGTATCCGAAGATTTTGGTGGCCATTGTGCTCTGGAAATGAAGCGAGAAACCTCAGTTTGTAACCATTCTTGGGTGGCGCGTGAGTCCTGTTGTCCAAGGTCTGCGGCCAAATTGTCCAAGATCTGCGACCACACCATCGCCATGGCCGGCGCTTGAGTTCTGTTGGCCAACCGAAAGTGCACATTTTCAGTTTTTGCACTTTTTGGAATTTCAATGGCTTTTAGCTGAGCTCATTTTCTGGAAAATTCTCACCAAAATATAATGAGCTGTAACTGGAACAATTTTAACAGCTGTTGAAAATGTGGCTTAGAAATGACAGCATTCTGAAGTTGGTTGCAGTTTTTTCCTCTCACCCTGTATATACGAAACATATATATGACAAATATTATAGCAAAGCATTCTACAATATATAAAACTGAAGTTGACTTTAGCAAAGTACAATATTCAATCTCAACATTAAATGCATTAAAAAAACAATTCCCAAAATTTTCACATTTTCCTGCGTTTCACAAAGTATAATAAAATATTGTTTTCTTTTTAATTTTACATTTACTTTTTTATTTTTCCTAATTTATTTCACTTCATTCTATTTAAGGTACAATTGTAAAATTTTTGGATTTCACCATTCCCACTAATTGCTTAGCACCTGCTCCATTGGCCTCTTCATAGTATGGTAATGTTTCCATACTCTTCAGCCAAGCACTCAGTTTTGGGAATTTGGATGCATCGATTTCAGCAAAAGCCACCAATGAAGTTACCGTTGTTACGATACTCAAGTCGGCAATGGTCAAATGATCACCAGCCATGTATTTGTGGTCCTTAAGGAATGATTCCAGGAAACCATAACTCTCTACAATGGCATCAATTTGATGTTGAGAAATTTTTGTTTGATTTCTTAACAACAAAGGTGCTGTAATGTTCCGTAAACCGCCTTGGAATAGGACACCAGCTTCGAAATACATGCGTTGATCAACAACGGCTCGTTTAAGCAAATCCTTTGGATACAGCGAATCATCTTTGCCATATTTGCTAACTAAATACGCGATAATGGCATGTGAATCCCAAATGAAGTGTCCATCATCTTCCAGTGTGGGTACGGTATGTTGGGGATTCTTTTTCAAATATTCCTCCGACAAATGTTCCTTAGCCATCAAATTAACCACTTTGTATTCATAGGGTAAATTCAAAGCTTTCAGTGTGAGCAAACAAGCACGTACCGGTGGGCTGGGATCTAAGCCGTATAGAACAAGTTTTCCCATTTTGTCGTCGTATAAATTAGCTGCAGCAGTTCTGTTTAGAATTCCGTTAGCGGGGTAGTGAACGCTATGAAATGCGACGAACAACTAAATGGAATTGTTTATAATAGTTGCCTTAAAAAACAACCGGCTGGCTGTTCACTATCTGTGAAATTAACTGTTGCTAATCTGGCGATTTTTTTTTCTGATTAAATACATTGATTGAAAATAAAAAATTATATTTTGGTGGCCCCATTCTATCAATGTGTATGTGCGCATTGTTAAAAAAAATTTAAATTATGTAAAATTCAGTTGCAATAAATTTTATAATTTTGGAATTAAACAACATTGTCCTCCTATTATGGATTCAATATTGTGGAATACCCCCAATATTTCATTAATGTTTTGTTGTTTTCCCCAATAAAATAATTTTGTAAAAATATGAACAAAGCAATTGTTGCATTTTAAAAGTCTATTTAACACAATAAGTCTAGCACAGAGTTGTATTTTAGTTGATTTTAAGTTTAACTTCTGGTTTTGGCATATACAGGGTGAGATAAAAAAAAACTGCAACAAAGTCAAACGCCACAATTTTTACATTTTTTTTTTTTTAATTTTATTGAATGAAAGCAAAAAGGTCGAAAATAGCATCAAATTTTAGAATAAGTTTAGATTTGTTCGAATTGGTCACCTTTGGTGCGAATTATTGCCTTCAAACGGCCAATGAAACCATCACACGCTGCCCGAATATTGGTTGCTCTGAGGTAATTTGGCCCGGCGAAGCGCTTGCTTGAGGTGATCGACACTTTGTTATTTTTTAGTGCCAATCTTGCTTTCCAAAATACTCCAGATACAACTGTCCAACGGATTAGCATCCGGAGATTTGGTGGTTATTGTGCGCTGGAAATGAAGAGAGGAACCTCATTTTGTAACCATTCTTGGGTGGCGCGTGCTGAGTGCGATGGTGCTGAGTATAAGGTCTGCGGACAAAATGTTTGCGTGCCCAAGGCTTTACTACACCCTCCAGAATATTTTCTCGATAATATTCGGCATTTGTTCTGACCATCGGCTGTTATGGCGGCCCACACCATCACCATGGCCGGCGCTTGAGTTCTGGTGGCCAACCGAAGGTGCACATTATCAGCTGACCTCCTTGGCAGTAAACACGATCATTTGGTTTGTTTACAAACGAATGTTTCTCATCGAAGAAAACCAAACTTTCGGCCAAACGAAGCAACTCTTTAGCTCTTTTGAGTCTATTTTCTTTCTGTTGTGGTGTAAGTTTATCCA